GTGAGGGAACGGAAGGGCGGCGCTAGGGTTCTTGAGGGTGTTTGGGAAAGAGACGATGATGAGGGAGGGGGGTCTGGCTTAGGGGGCGTGGGGGGTAAGGGATTGGGTTTATATAGTTAGGGAGAAACTTGATCTAGGTCGTTAGATCATCAAAAATCAATGGCCTGGATTGATCAGCTCAGTGAAAACGACGCTGTATGGGTTAAATGAGACCGATGGGTCTCTAGGTGAGACGGGTCGGGTTAAAACGTGGGTATAGAGACGTGATCTTGGCCGTTGATCAATCTGAGATCAACGACCCAGATCAAGCATGATCAAAAACGACGTCGTTTGGACATCCCTGAGGTCAGCTGATCTGGACCAGGCAAGACAATGCTTTGGGACTGATTTGGGTCCAATTTGAACGGCCCAATTCTGATTTATTCCACTTTCAAACTCTTCTTTTTTTTCTATTTTTAATTAAAAATCCGAATTTACAAAAAATCCTAAAAAAATAAATTATAAAAAAAATATAAAAATTAAAATTATATCACAAGACATTAATTGATTTTTAGTAATAATTAACACACAATATCATATACTAATTAAACAAAAATCAACCTTTAAACGATAGAATGACAAAATTACCAAAGATAATATTTTTGTGATTTTTTATTCATTCAAAACCAAATACGATTTAATTAATTCTTAATAGTAGAACAAAATCCTAAATTTACACGTAACATATATTTTTTGTATTTTTTTAATTGATAAAACTAAACAATCACAGACAAAAACTACAAATAACTACCAAAAAATGCCACGCAAATTCTAAAAATTGTACAACAAGACAATTTGTTTTATTTTTCGATTTCTTTTGGAGTAATTGTCGTGTAAACAAAAATCACGTGCTCACACTAGTTATGTCGGGCCATAAGCAAATTAGTACAAAAACTAACTAATTCATAAAATATTACTAATATTAACCAAATGCTACAAATATTAGCCAATTTAGCTATTTGGAGCAAAAAAAATCAATTTTTTGCTTTCTTTTGAGTGAATGTTGTTGGAATAAGTTGGGTATATCTTAAGAAGTTTGTACTCAGTTTTGGAATGATTTGGTAGAGTTTTGAGGTGGTTTGAATTAAAAATTAGGAGTAGAAGATGAACATGAAAAAAATGATGAGTGTATCACATATGTATCGTATGTGTATCAGATATGTTTCACATTCATATCCACGTGTATATGTGTGTGATATATATGTGTGATACATGTTTGATACATGTGTTATAGAAAAAAAAATTTAAACTCGATTTTATCTATGAAATTTGATATCAAATCACTTTCAATATTCCTCAAATTTTGTATATTGACTCATATGTATGTTGTCAATAAATTTCAACCATATTCATTGAAAAAAGTCCCTTTTTTCTTAGATTTTTTAAATTTTGTATATTTTTTTTATTTGTGTTTCATCAACTTGTTTGCTACCTTATCCATGAATTTTTTTGTTCGTCTTGTGTCTAATATTGCTAATCACGCTTAAAAATATGGAAGGAGATCTTTGTGTATGATTCTTGGAGAGAAAAAATTTATATTTATTTGCGTTTTTAATTTTTGTATGCACTTGGCTAATTTTGGCTAGAGATTAGTAAGTTTGGGCTTATTTGTAACACCCTGTACATTCGGACTAGATGTGGATATGTTAAATGGATATTAATTTGATATTTTAGACATACGAATTCCTATCGAGATGAGTATGGGTGAAAATAGTTGTTTCAAAATCAAGATGGAAAGCGAGGTGCATAAGATTTGACAAAATCGGCTAAGTTTGCAGAAGGTCTGTATTCCAGCAGGGTTTTGTTTAAAT